TAGAATTTTTTTTTTTTTTTGGCCAAGTGTGATTGGACACACAAGGAATTTATCTTGGTGCATATGCTCTCAGTGTCCATAAAAGAAAAGATAATTGGTCACATATTTCAGATAAGGCTTCTAAGACTTAAATTCAACACATCTGGATGGCACCAAGTGAGGGAAGGAAAGGAGGCTAAGAAATTATGCAGGATGTGGTAGGGATAACATCTGATCAAGGGAGGCCTTTCATGCTACTCTTTGTACTGCAGGATAAACAGGGCAACTGTTACATAATTCGGTCTTAGGTCCACCCAAGGAGATCTCGAGCTCGCAAAAGCCATTAGGGCAATTCTATAAAGTTTCCACCTGTAAAAATTTTAATATCCTGTATTTAAAGCTTTGGGGGGGGGATGTTGACAGATGATAAGGACTAAAGCACACAGCATACAATAACAGAGAAAGAATAAGAATGACCACTAAGGCGACAGCAATCTCCTCTGAATAGGAAGCTGCCCTTCCTGTCCTCGAACAGGAAGAAAAGTGAATGAATTAATCCCTCGGAAACAGCTTGCAGGAAGGGACTGCAAACAGGGGAAGGGTGGCGGTGGGAACGGAAGCTCCTAGCCCGAGAACCATAAATGTGCGTGTGGAAGAGAGAGGCCGAGAGACCCAGGGACAGCTAGTTCTCTCAATCCCTATGAGGGCTGCAGCTTTTATTTTTTCCGGTTGGACTTCCTATCTCTTTAATAGAGATACAGCAGAAATACAGCTTGAGATGGAGACACACAGCATTTGTGGCATTGTAGTTGAAGCCAGCTCAGTTTCTCTATACTTTAATTGTGAAGCTTAAAATGACAGACATGGAACTATGCCGGTCTCTCCCAAGCTGCCTCAATGATACAGAAGGCTATGATCTCCATATACTTATGCCTGACTAGGTGGCTCAGTGGCTAAGACACTGAGCTTGTCGATCAGAAAGGTTGGCAGTTAGGCCGTTCAAATCCCTAGTACAGGTCTTCTGCGTGAGCAGGGGGTTGGACTAGATGACCTCCAAGGTCCCTTCCAACTCTGTTACTGTTACTTGGACTTCATAGCCCAGGGCCAGTCCCCATATATAAAGATTCATGACAAGATGTTTCCATTTTCCTATGCAAAGCTGGCACTCTCTTCAGTCTTCTTCAGTCAATTTGCATTTTATGAACTCCCCATTCCTTACTATGGGAAATTTCTAGGTGTTGCCTTTTAATACATCTGGATGATGGAAAGCTGGGAAGTTCCTCCAGCTGTTGTAGTACATGTAATCCTTGACTTATGACCAAAATTCAGTCCAAAATGTCTGTTACTAAGTGAGATGTCTGTTTTAAGTGAGTTTTGCCACACTGTACAACCTTTCTTGACACAATTGTTAAGCGAATCATTGCAGTTGTTAAGTCAGTAATACGGTGGTTAAGTGGCTTCTTCATTGACTGTGCTTGTCAGAAGGTTGCAAAAGGTGATCACAAGACCCCGGGACACTGCAACCGTCATAAATATGAGTCAGTTGCCAAGCGGCTGAATTTCGATCATGTGACCATGTGACTATGCTGCAATGGTCGTAAGGGTGAAAAATAGACATAATTCATTTTTTTCAGTGCCGTTGTATCTTTGAATGGTCACTAAATGAACTGCTCAAGGACTACCTGTACTAAGGCTCTTTACATTCATAGATACATAGATGTATACAGTATTCAGCATATCATTCCTTTGGAAGAGTATACAGAGCACAGAAAATGGGTAAGAAATACTAAAACCAAGAAATTAAAGGCATGAGATAGAAACCCTAAAACCAGTTTACCCCAAACCCCATTCTACCTCTCCATAGCTTTATAGTCTTGCAATGATCCTTGTTTCCCCCATATCACACACTGCCTTTTGAAACTTCTCACCTCTCTCTTGCTGAGGATCTCATTCACTCCATCCAACCAACCACCCAACCACAATTTTCTCTTGATCCGTTCACTCTTTCATCCTATATTCATTTTGCAATTCTCTCCTTTTTTTTCTACTTGATCAAACCACCACCTACTTCCAAAATCATGCACCACCCATTCATACTTGAACCTACCTCTTTTTCATCTCATACACACCCAAGTGCTGCCTTCTCACTGCACATGACTTACTTTTGTGACACACCCAAGTCTCACTGCCATAGAATAAAATAGATAGGCAGAATCACTGCCTTAATACATAGCCATTTACACTTCTTTTGACAAATATTCATTTCTTGCAACAGTTCATATACTAAACTTACCTCTCTATTAGCATTTGCACACCTTAAAATGTCTCCAATTTTTCTCTCACCTTTAATAAATGTTCTGTCAAGAGACACATACAGTATTCATCTATTTGATCTAGATTTTTTTGCCATGGATGCCATACCTAAAATTTACAGCACGTTATTTATTTACGATACTTATATAACACCAACTTTCAACTCTCTGTCAGTTTCATTGTGTCTGGTGCATTTAGCTTTATCTTTGATAGATAAATTTTCAAATCCATATTCTTCATTGCCTCACGCTCTTTATCAGGTGGGCCTTTCAGATTACATCTGCCTCACAGTGAGCAGTGGGTTTAGCTGTTGAATCTGCTGGGCGCCGATTTTCTCACATAGTTATTTATTTACTTTTAGCCGTGGGAGTTTGTCCCAGTATAATCTGGTGGAATAAGCACTTGGACAATGCTGCAGTTCATGTTGACTCTAACTCCTGCACAGTGTGGGTGATGAAGCCTACATGGCCATGAACCTCTTCCGCCTGAAGAAGGGGGAGAACAAAGGAAAGAAAATAGGTGGAGGGAGGGAACGTCCAATATGGACATCCTCCAGGATTAGAACTAATTTTCCTCCCACTCCACCTTCTTCTTCGAACAGAAAAGAGACTGGTTACTAAGCAACAGAGTCAAAGAGAGAGGGTTTTTTAAAAAATAAATAAATAAAAAGCCAAAAGACATGCAGCAGACACAGATGGGAAGAGTGGGGAGACCCAGGGAAGGAAGCTTGGGTGAGGGCTGAACTGAAAAGGGGAACTGCCTTTTCTGTTCGATATTTGATGTCTGGAACAGGATTGCGCCCCTCTCAGATCAAAAGGGGGAAGAGCAGAGGGGTAACTGATTGCCAGCCAGAAATCTGAAAACAGGCATGATGAGATGTAGCAGGACCTGAAGAAGTGCTCTGAATCAACCCATTGTATAACATCCTTTCTCACACTCAAGTGGCTGAAAATCCAGAAAAGTACCATCTTCCTGGAGGAAGTTGTTAGGAATGGCATCTTCAGGAAGGTCTCTCTCTGCCAAGAGGAAAAAAAAAACTGTTCTGGGAGGTCAGCATCATCTTGGATGACAACCCGTTGCTACTCTGGGAAGTCAGTGAGGGAAAACCTTGGAAGGATTATGGGACTCCGTTTTTAGGCTCTCACCATGAAAGCCAAGGATCCAAGCAATTTGAACAAAGAGTTTAAACTAAAATTATTTTGCTGCATCTGGCAAGGAACAACCTGGCATCCTCGGTTCTGCATAAAAACAACCAGAATGGCAATTTTTTTCTCTCCAAATCTGTCTTATCTTTCAGAATTGGAATGGTTATTTCTTCAGTGGCTTTGATATATACTGTATCTCTTTATCTCAGCACACACTCATTTTATGCAAATATCTACAGCATCCTGATCTGTTTTGGGTACCCTAACCTACTTCTGGAAATAAACCCAAGTAATACATTTTTTAAAAATGAGACCATTATTATGGGAGTCGTAACTTTATGATACGGTCTAATAAGACTTTTTGAACATGCTTCTTGATTCTCTTTTAAAACTCTAACCAGGTCCTTTTCAGAATCAAGGCAGCCTTTTCCCATCCCTTCCTCCCCTTGCATCATTCCCACTTTGTTGTTGGTGGCAGCATCTTTTCTGATGAAAAGATCTGGCAAACTTGAAAGGTTAATCAAAACTTTGTAGATTTTTGAGTTTGTCCTTTTTTGAGTTTATCATTACAATTTTATTGCTTCTTATGCACTAATACAATTTTCTTGGCTGTTGTGCTTCCTGGTGAAAAGATTATTTTGGAATATACTAATACCAACTATCAATTATTTTTTAAGCCTATTGATGGTATACTCCCTTTTAATTATTATATAGAATTATTATATATTACACTATTCTATCTGCTAGGCACTTCCTACATTTATTATTTCAGTCAAAGAGTATACCACTGAATCTTATGACTTGGTTGTTATAAATCATTTGGCAACTTTCTCAGATGCTGGGTGCCACTTGTCATAAGGGTCAAATCTCATAGGATTCCCTAATTTTATGAGACTGTGGTGCTTTCCACTTTTAAAAATTAACTACAATAAGTGATTTTCTCTCACAAGATCTTTGTTGTTGTAAATCAGAAAGTTTAAGTGAAGTTAACAGAATAAAAAAGTTGGAAGAGACCTTGGAGGTCTTCTAGTCCCACCCTCTGCTGAAGCAGGAGACCCTATGTCATTCCAGATAAGACGGCTGTTCGGTCTCTTCTTAAAAGCCTCCAGTAATGGAACACACACAACTTCTGAAGAAAAGCTGTTCACTGGTTAATTGTTCTGTCAGGAAATTTCCCCTTTGTTCTAAATTGATTCTCTCCTTGATTAGTTTCCATCGATTGCTTCTTGTCCTGCCCTCAGGTGCTTTTGAGAATAGGTTGACCTCCCCACTCTTCTTTGTGGCAACCCCTTAGATATTGAAACACTATTATCATGTCACTCCTAGCCCTTCTTTTCACTAGGCATACCCAATTCCTGTAACAGTTCTGTTTTTATACCATTAGTGGGTATTTTGTTGTTGTTAAAGAGCAAACAAAAAATAGCTGCAATTGGCTACAAATAGCAGATGAGCTTCCGAGCTCATAAAATTTCTTTTGTAAGGCAGGGTTGATTGCCCAGTAAAAACTTCCTCTGGAAGCCCCGTTTTAAGAAGCTGACAGAAAGTGGCTGGTTTTTTTTTTCCTCGCATGGTGCCTACACACAAGTAGAATAAGGTTTTTAATTCTACATCTGTGTCTGTAATTAAAGTAAAACGGTCTATTTCAAGACTGCATCACCTACAAGCCTCCCAATAAATCCACACTTGTTTGTGTTGTTTAAAGTCCCGCTTTATTAAAATAACTGTTGTTGTTGTTGTCCATGGTAATGGCAGTTCCTGTCCACTCCCCTTCCATCTCCAGTCATTTACATTCACTTGAAAACAGAGACCCAAGACAGAGACTCAAGTAGACTCTTTGGAGCATGCAGGGAGTCAGAACTATGTGTAACCTGCATGGACAGTAACAAAAAATTCGGTGCTCAGGCAACCCAAATTGTGAGCAAACCTGAATACTGCAATCACCTTGAATTGTGCTAGTTGGTCAAATTTGCATAAGAGTCATTTTGCATAAGAGTTGGCTAGTTTGACTGCTTTGCATAATTTATTCTCAATTTATTCTAATTTATTTTCATCAGAGGGAAAACCTGTAAGGCATTGCAGGGTCACTGAAGCCCCACATTTCCAAAACTCACTTAACAGCAATTGCAAATTATTTCAAGCAAGCATTGCCCCTAGGCACGTATCTTCATAGCCTCAAAGGCCAGAAAAATCCTGAAAAAGGAAGCAAAACATTGGGAAAACAGACTCTCGAGAAAATTAATTTTGCAGACAAAATGTTCTTCTGGACTCCTGTGGACCTACTAAACAGAGCTGAAATAAAAGCCTTAAATGCAGATCACTAGAACACCTCGGACATCTTTTCACATGCCCACAAGGACCCTATCATGTACACATAGTGGTTAATGATTTTAGATAATTATAGAAAATTTTGAAATCACCAAGTCTGCACTTTTCTTCCTAATAAACTCTGTTAATTAAGAAATACTGTCCCTCTGTAACACATCCCCCACCCCCACCCCTTACAATGCTCAGAGGTTTTATCTTTTTATTATGAACTCAAAGGATACTGGAATTGAGCTCCAATACTGAAAAGATCCTGACTGAAATTTGGGGAATAAATCGTGGGCACAAATTAACCCTTTCAGGCAGATACTATGCAAACAATGCTTAGTACACACATTCGCAGGTCTCTTTGCTTTCATGCAAATATTAAGGCACACATACAAACTCACCATTTGTACAAATACAAATACAAAATGCAGAGCTCTGCTCTATTTTCTCCCACAACCAAAGATTGGGTTGTGTAACACCAATATTTTGCTTCTAATATTTATGTCTTCCCACTGTGATTCTGTTCCAAAGCTTCTCCCCCACCATTTTTATTTCCTTCTGCCTAAATCCTGAACGAACTACAGAGGATTGAATGAGGTGCTTTGGGGATGATGAGAGCATCTATAGTTTTGGGAATAATGGGAGAGTTAAGGTTATCATACAAATGTTTGAACCTGCTCCAATTCTGGAATACAGCTCTGGAGATTTTAAAGAGTCCCACACTGGAACTTTTGTAATCTGTTCTGGTGACATAAATGCCTAGCATCAAAAAACTTAAAAGTTGCAGATTCTCAAACCCATTTCTGCAGTTCCTGTACCACAGGACCTAATCAAAGGTTCTTTAAGACATCTCCAGAGGTTATGTTTATATAAGCTGCTACACTGATTCCTCAATTCTATGATTCATCCTGGTCTTAACTAGAGAGATCTGGGAAATTCTGTGGTTTCATTTCTAAAATATAGGACTCTGCATTAAAAATTTCTATAAGATATTTTTTAGTCATTCCAGGATAACCATGTTAGAATTACATTCCAGCATCTCACTTCTCAAACTGAAAGAAATGATTCTAGAGCAGAGGTCATCATTTGGCCTTGTTCACTGGAGGTATTGGGAATGGGAACTTAACACATCAGCTGGTGAATGCACTATCATCCCACCAAAAATCCTGCCTGCAGAAGATTCTTATGGGAGAGCTGCAGGTCTCTGCCTAATTTCTGCATAATGGCTGGAGAAGGAAAAACACAAGAAAACCATAAAACCTTCAATATGTGATCAATATCATTAATAACCGGCAGGTTCCAGCCCTGACATGTTCTATTTCAAATATTTAAATTTTAAAAGAGGGTAATCTGGATCAAGTTCGAGATGCTGTAATGACCAGACCCAACATTCCAGAAATAGGGCCCCCCAGAAATGTGTTGGTTTCTTGGTCTGTACAGAGCTCTTGGGAGAAAGGGAGGAGAAGAGTCTTTGGTTATTGGTGTGGCCATGTCAGTCTCGCTGTGTGATTAGTAAGGACACCATTGCTGTTGATATTTCAGAAAACCCAAAAGGCAATGAGAACCTTTGCTGGAAGTAGCAGTTGTTCCTGAAAGAGGCACCTCCCTCTCTAGTGTGAGGTATTCAGTTGGTCCCAGAAGATTCTGCCACCAGGGCAGGCAGAAAGAACCAAGAACAGGAGGTGTTGGTGGACAATGACAAAAATGTAGCACCCTTCTGGCTCCTACGTAGGATCCAGCTCAAAGACACTGTCATTGGTTGGTGAGGTGAAGAAGCAGGTCTGGTCTGAGGCTGGCCGCCGACTGCCCTGGCTAAGCCCCAGGGACTTCTCAAAATCCAGCAGCTGTCCCATGAAATTGAAGTTAGGTGAGATGTTGGACTTCTTTCGCTTCACCAGATCATAGGCATCGTTGAGAGACAGGTTGAGCTTCTGCATGAGGTAGGCTACAGTGACGGTGACTGAGCGACTGATCCCCGCCAAGCAGTGCACCAGAATGCCGCAGTTCCGAGAGAGGGCCTCATCTGACAGAGATAAGGGATAGATGGTCAAGTGAATGCAATCATACACAAGAGTCACCACTTCTAAGCAAGTGGAATTCATTAACAGTGAGCTGGAAAAATGAAACGGCGCATCTTTATTTCTGTGACACATTTCTGATCCAAGAGAAACAGCTTTCTGTATGACTTTGCATTTTCCCATCTTTGTGCCTGGTGTATAAGAAGTCATTAAAGCCGACAAGTAAGATCTATCAGTTAAAGCAAAAAGGAGACTTCAATTTCATAATCAGTCATATCCATATTGCAAAAACTGATTTGAAATGAGAGCATGATTTGAAATCACTTTGCTATGATATTGTCCAGTAGTCACAAATTGATTTTGTAGATGCATATTAAATTTTGTTAAGCAACCAGAAATACCTTTCTAACTGAGGAAAAACCTTTAACAATAATTCACTTTGCTTATTCATGATCTAAACACTAATACTGAGGTGTCATATCCTACATAGCATTGCAGGCCATACTAACATATTATCAAGATGACACAAGATCTGGAAAAGATGAAACGACTGATAGCAAGAGAAGAAAAAACTTTTGATTCTTTTAACACTGAAGCTAAAGAAGATGTCAATGACAAAAAGAAAGAAATGGGTGGGAATGTTTCTGGCTAGACAAACCAATTAGAGTGAGAAATGTCATTACAAGTAGTCCTTGGCTTATGATCAACCCAAAAAAGGGGACTTATGATCTGTATTCAAAGTTCAGACAGTCGAGTGCCCTCCATGGTCACATAACCGAATTTCAGGTGCTTGTTAACACAGTCATATTTATAGTCATTTGCAGCATCCTGTGATCATGTGACCATGATTTATTATGGTTCTATTGAAAACCAGCACTTGCTTTTGCTTAATGACTGCTGCAAAAAAGATCTTAAAATCAGGTTGGTCACATTTTAAAACTGTTACAAAATAAGACCATAATGGCCAGGTTCCATTTCAGTTATATTTTGAGGGCTACCTGTATTAATACTGCAAGTTCAATTAGTGCAAAGAGCTGGCCTTTGACTACTTAGCTTCCGTTCCCCCCTCCTCCCTCCGTTCTTATATACGCAAAATCCTCTGGCCCTGCGCAAAAGCCTGAGCCAGTTTGGACCTCCACACTTGTCTTTTGGCAATGTGAGTGGAAATTAGCAGAGGATACCTGAAAATGCCTCACTCTGAGTAGATTTCCCAGCAAATCACACTGAATTAAACCCCATTTTCCATTCCCCTAAGTTATTTCTGCACAGGCTTTGAGTCCTATTTACTGTATCTCATCCACTTGAGGGAAAAAGAGCTGTTCTGAATAGCATGATAAAAGGATCAATGTGGAAACCTGACAAGTTTTAGGGAGCTGTCAAGACTGGGTGCATGGTTTAGGCCCACAGAGCCTTCCTCACAGCATGGGGGCCAGCCATAGCATAGATCAGTGATGGCTAACCTTTTTGCTGTTGCGTGAAAAAAGCGGGGGGAGTGTGGGAGGGTCGCACCCATGTCCACACCCATAATTCAATGCCCCCCACACCCTGCCCCTCCACACATGCGTGTGCTCCTCCCTGTGCTCCCCCCGCTTTTGGCACATGACAGCAAAAAGGTTACCGGTGAGCCCAGTGGGGCCCATTTTTCACCCTGCCCAGGCTCCACAGGCTTTCTTTGAGCCTGGGGAGGGCAAAAACTGCCTTCCCCACCCCCACACCCCGGAGGCCCTCTGGAGGCCAGAACTGGCCCACTTCCTGACTTCTGGTGGGCCCAGAAGGCCCAAAAATTAGCTGGCCGGCATGCACATGCACGTTGGAGCTAAGCTAGGGCAACACATGCATGCCCACAGATATGGCTCTGCGTGCCATCTGTGGTACACATGCCATAGGTTTGCCATCACGGGCATAGATCATTCTATAACTGATATGCAATAGAAGACTTCTGAGTGCGACAGACCAGTAATGTACATTGGAAGCCAAAGTATCTAGATCTTCTTTGTTTTGGTCTTTGCACATACTTTGGCAACTCATTATAATGGACCCTGGGTTGGAAAAATTTCAGTTTCTTTACCACCTGACTACAGAAGAGCATTCTTTTCCAACTTAGGGCAGAGAATGCAAGCACCCTCAATAATCGCCATGTTATTTATTGGAGATCATCATTATAGAGACCACAGAAAGCCTTACAGGAATCTTACAGAAATCTTTGAAATCTGAACAATGTTATTTATTTACAGCTGACCTCTGGAGAGACAAGCATGGCTAGACTTCCATTTCCAGGAACACATGTAGTTCGAGAGTGACCAGAGGCTAGGGAAATTACGGTAGATCACCACTTCCATTTGGGCTTAGAAGATCCTCCCCACAAAACCGCTTTACAGAGGAATAATCATGTTAACTGATTTTCAGCAGCTAACCTTTTTAGCTGTGGAGTAATATATGTGTGAACAGGACATAATGTGTTTCACAGGGGGAATTGTTGGTTTCTAAGGGGGCTTAAATGCTTATAAACACTGAAAATTAGTAGGGGCACAAGAAGGGGGAAGTTAGAAATCAGAGCTTTTTTTAAAAAAAGAAGTTGTTTCTTTTTGTTTTTTAATATACATAAACAACTATAACGATATAATGGAGACTTTAGTATTAAGTGTTAGACTTAAGATAGAAACCTTTATTATGTTATAAATAATTTAAGATATTTTGCAGTTTTTATTAGTCTTAACATTGAGTTTTAGATGTACATTTTAAGCATCTTTATCCTTATCAACATTTTGTTGTAATTTTGTTGCTTGTATCCTTACGATTTATATTGATATTGTTTCCTGATTGCTTATTTGTACCCTATGACTATAATTAAGTGTTGTACCTTATGATTCTTGATGAACGTATCTTTTCTTTTATGTACACTGAGAGCATATGCACCAAGACAAATTCCTTTTGTGTCCAATCACACTTGGCCAATAAAAAATTCTATTCTATTCTATTCTATTCTATTCTATTTTCTATTCTATTCATATTTGAGAAATCCGTTAATACTGACAGTTTTAAAACTGGTCTAAATAGTTGAATTATCCATTTAATGGTTGGCTTGTTCATTTGTTTAATTGTATATGCGATCCAGAGTCACAAGCAAGTGACTCTGCTTGTGCTTGAGATTGAGAGTTATATAAATTAAATACAAAAATCAATAATTTCCCCCTTCATTTTTAAAGGTTTAAGTTATCTAAGCATCGAAATGTTAAAAATCTGCAGTCAAAGCTGTATGAATATCACTGTACCCAAATTACATAATGTACTATTTGTGTTTTATAGTGGCAATGAGTGCAACGTTGGGAGACCTGAAAGACCAGGTTACAGATAGATCATCCTGGAGGAAATCTATGTGGTTGCTAGGAGTCAAAAATGATATAAGGACACAATCCATCAAATCATCATCATCGTGGTACTATTACCCTTCAACCTGCTGACACTCACCAATGAAATCAATAGCTTCAGGGAAGAACTGAGAAAGGTTCTGGCTCCAGTGATCTGAGATGGGAATTTGCTTGTAGTGGAAGTCGCCATTCTTCTCAAAGAGGTTTGGGAGGTTTGGAGTCACATTGAGGATGTAGTGGATACCCAGTTTGGCCAGAGTGTCCATGTTGGCAGAGTCACGGGCACATCCCAGGTAGAGATTGGGTAGGATCTGCACAGGAAAGGAGGGGGGACTCGTGCCTTCAGACTCCATGCCGCTGCTTAGGGGCTCTGACTCGGCATCTGAGCCATCTGAACTTAAGCTCAGGCCTCCCAGCCCCACGATGGGAGCCGCCAGAGGAACAGGAGAGCTGCTGGTACTGGCTGTATCCAGGTTGGTTTCACAGAGATGGGGCCATTCAGCCTGGAATTTATTGAAGCCTCCTGGAGGAATACAGACCCAAGAAAGAAAAGTATCAGTGTTATAGGATGGCATCAGAAGTTCCCCAAATGTGGCAAACCTTGTTTTCTACCCAACCCACAACTCATTTGGAAGATTTATCCATATCCAAGGTAGTAAGCTGTATAAATCAGGAGTCTCCAACCTTGGCAACCTTAAGCTTGGTGGACTTCTGGGAGTTGAAGTCTGCCAGGCTTAAAGTTGCGAACGTTGGAGACCCCTGGTATAAATCATTCAATTTCACCACAGTTGAACCCAAAATTTCTGTTGCTAAACAAGACAGATGTTAAATGAGTTTTGCCCTATTTTATGTCCTTTCTTGTCAGAGTTGTTATGTGAATCACTGCAATTGTTTAGTTAGTAACACGGTTGTTAGATTAATCTGGCTTCCCCATTGACTTTGCTTGTCAGAAGGTTGCAAAAGGTGATCATATGAGCCTAGAACACTGCAACTGTCATAAATATGATACAGTCACTAAGCAGCCAGATTTTGATCATGTGACCATGTGGAGGCTGCATCGGGTGTAAGTGTAAAAAATGGTCATAAGTCACTTTTTTTCAGTGACTTTGTAACTTCGAATTGTCACTAAACAAATGACTGTAAGTCAAGGCCTACTTCTTGCTATATTTTTATATCATATTTTCATGCTGGAATATATTCTGTTTTTGTAGCTTTTTGCTTTTATAGATTATTACATTGTTTTGTAATTCTATGTGAAAAGCACCTCAAAGTAGTTGGAAAAATATAAATACATAATAAAAACTATTGAATTAAAAAGGTTATCAAAATATAGACAGCAATAAGGAGGGGGGATTGGAGAAAAAAAACAAAAGCAGGAATAAAAACATTAATCCAACATTTACACAGAAAACACCTAGCTGGCCAAATAGATCATTCACAGAAACCTCATGAATTTGGCGTAATGTATGGGACAGAGGGAAATAATTTCAGAATATTGCCACCTCTGCAGATGGATTTCACCACAGTGAAAGATTATTTAAAGAATTCATATTGCTGCCCAACCTGAACTACTTGTATTGTCTTTATAAGCAAATTATGTGAGTATGCCTGGAACCCAGTGCATGAATCTGGTTACCATATCTTTAGAAAGGTATTGTTGAGTTTGAAAAGTTACAATAGCTAATGTTTTCTAGTTTTAAAAAAAAGTAAATAATGGGGAATGTAATGAAGCTCTGGAAAATAATTCCTTGTAGAAGTGGGCACAGAAAAGTTATTTCCACGTTCGATGTACAGTGAAACATTCAGAAGAAAGAATAATGAGACCTTCATTCAGAACATAATTATTACCTGAAATTCCTTACTGCAAGAAAGCCACCAACCCTACTACTTTTGAAAGACAATTGAAGAATAATAGACATTAGCTCCGTCAGTGGCTATTAATCCTGATGGCTACGTATCACTTCCAGTAACATATCTGTGCATGAATGTGAGAATGGCACTGTGCTCTTGATCTTAGTCATGAATTCTCAGATGTAGCTGGCTGGTCACCATAACATGGGATGCTTAATAGATGGTTCTAACTGTGCCAAAAAGGGAGATGTAATTCAAGTCAGCTAAGGTGGGCATGTTCCTAGTCCCTTCCCCTAAATATTGCCATCTGATGAGAGTTAGGAAGTGTGCCATTTTGGGGCCACCCTTGCCCTATCGAATTTGTCCCCTGAAATTTGATAAACCTCTGTCCACATATTTATTTTATTTATTTGTAAAATGTATTTAGTTGCCCATCTTGTCACATGGTAAAACTTGGAAGACCTGGTTTTACCTCCAGGTGCTGGGATAAGATGAAGTGACTGCACATCAGAAGTCTCACTTGGTGCCAGGTTTTTGTTGTTTTTAATGCATTTAGGTTTTATAATATGGGTTTTGTGCTTTTAACTCTTTGATTGGGAGCAGCTCAGAGTTGGTTATAAGACGGGTGGCTATATCAATGTTTTATATTAATAAGTAAAATAAATTAAGTTTGCATTAATTCAAACCAATGGATTTGTCACCTGCTTCCTCTGTGGCACACTGGAATCTCACCCATTTGAACGGTTGAAGGACGAGGAAGTACAAACTAGCAGGGCAGGGAAAGACAACAAATAAGTAGGATAAAGGAAAACCTGTTGTATTCCTCATCCCTCAATTTATCGGTGGATTTTTACACCTCAGAAGGGAGTATTCCAGCAACCACAATTTTGGCCCCACTCTGTTTACTCTGCTGCACCAGTCAAGAATCAATCTAGAAGCTAGCATTAGTCAGTTATTTCTTTCTCCCACAGAGACAGCTTTTTTTAATGCACACCTACCCTGCAGGTAGTAGGCCAGGCAGCCCTCCTCTCGGAGCTTCTGCAAGAGTGTGAGCAGCACTGATTCTTCTTCTTCCTCCTGGTTGTCCGGCCGAGAGAGCTGGATTGTCCCCTCATCGTACAGCAAAACCATATTCTCACAGAGCCCCTGAGGGGGGCCAGGCAGCAAGGACCGGACCGCCAGACTCCCCTTCCGAAGGCGGCGCAGTAGTAGTCCTGGGAGGGCCACGCTCAGGGCCCGCTCCACATGGGATGAATCATATAGGTCCCGGCTGCGGCAATCAAGGATATGCAAGCACGGAGAAGGAGAGGCCAACTCGGCCTGCAGCCACACCGTCGACTTGCCCAGGTCTTCCATAAGGCTGTATGCCACAGTTTAGGTGGCCAGAACTGTCTTGATCCAAAGCTTTGGGTCAACCTTGGCAGAATTTCTGGGTAGTGTCTGAATTTTCCCACTCACAAAAATGCATCAAGAGGAGAAATCATACTTGCCACTTAACTTGTTCCCCCTCTTCCAGTGCTTGAAAAGGGTGTTATGTGTGTGTGTGTGTGTGTGAGAGAGAGAGAGAGAGAGAGAAAGAGAGAGAGAGTGAATGCACACACGTAGGGGATGGCTCTGCCAGAAGGCAGGAGAATGCTCCAAACCAGGGGATTGGAAGATCCCAAGTTCTTGCTCCAGAGAAATGTCTACATTGTGCTGCCAGTGTAGACGGTCTTGTCCTCCATCCAGTTTTTGCTAGAAAAACAAGAAAGGGGCATCCCAGAGCACGACATTGTGAGCAGAAGTCATCTTTCGTTCTACTGGCAGGAAAAAAGAAGGAGTTGCAGCCTTTCCAAAGAAAGATGAGGACATCAAACAAGGCTGGGATTTCCCGAAGAAGGTCTGAAAAAGAAAAGGTCTGATGAAGGAATTGCCCCCAAACAATTAGCGGTATTCAGATGCTGCTCTGCTTTGCTTTCCCTGATTAGCGTGGCTTACCAAAGATCGGCCGCTATAAAGGCTACCGGATGAAACTTCATCTCTGTAAATCCAGAGTGTTTATCTTGTTTATCTGAAATAACCTTTGTGCTGTTGCTGCTCTTTTGAGTTACTGCCTTAGCTTGGCAGGCTGAGCAGAGCCACCACATTTATAGCCAGCCTGAAGAAGTTCCTCCTTTGGTGTTTCCAAATCCAATCTATCCAACTCCCCTGGAGAGAATGTGCTGGAGCAGAGGCCAAGTGGCTCTGTGGTAAGAAGGCATCCACATAAGCCTGCGGGGAATGGAAAATGAAGGACCACCACAGGCAGTGAGACAGAGCAAGCGAGCAGTGAGGGATGCCTCAGGACTCCAGAGGACAGGGTGTTGTTATGGTGGCTTTGAAAGCCATCTCTGGACAAACCTGCAGCGGAAAAGCAAAGGGACAGAGGGGGAATGGGGAACAAGAGGGAGAGCAAGAGAGCAAGCAGCTGGATAAGGGAAATATGGGAAGTGCGTGTTCCCTTCCTGGCACCTTGCTGTCCCCCTCCATTCTGGCCAGATACTGACGGGAGACTTCCTGGCAACCAAAGGGAAGACAGCTGCAATTGCCAAGAACTGGAGGGTAGCAGGAAGAGAGCCCCCACAGCAGCCCCTCCGTTTCATTCATAGGGGAAGAGGTGGCCAGCCTCAACCTGCCTGTCAGAAACATCTTTGATCCACAAGGAATGGGTCATGACTGAGGCTATAGCAAGGGAAGCAGGAAAAGGGAGTTTGTTGATTGCCGTAGCTCAGTGACAGAACATCTGTGTTGCATTCAAAAGGTCCCAAGTGTAACCTCTGGAATATCAAATAAAGCTGGGAACAATTTCCTATCTAAAATGAGAGGATATATAATTGAGTTATATGGACTAGAATCTGCCTTGTTGAGTGTTGTCACAGAAGATTAATTTACGGTATTTATGGAGTTCCCACAACTCACTGATCCATGAACAAACTACGGGGGTGGGATTGGACAGGATCTGCACAGCACATTTGCTAAATATGAGCAAGCTTAGGACTAATCAGAAGGTATCTCATACTTTCCTTGCACTGATTAAGCATCTTTGTGACCACAGCCAGAATATTAGTAAAATGCAACTTCTCACAACTCTATGACACTTTTTCAAGAACATCCATTGGAAACTGGGGTTAGGAGTAATCCTGCCAGCAAAGTAGAACATTGAAATAACTCCTATTGTCATCTCTCCCCTCCTCACGCTGAAAGGCCCCTTGTTTTCCTAAAAGCTGTAACCCTGGGGAGGCAGAACAGGAGAGGCCAGGACTTGTTCTACTATGATGGCTGCTGATGAACCAGTATTAAGATCATTTGTATCATGGTTTGTGCTCTAAGTAGAGGTTACAGCCTTATATAAAGTTTTGAGGAGCTTGAATGTGTGCAGATTAATGCCAAGAACTGACATATAACACATCCCAGGAAATGGGCCAACCGCCCAACTTCACAGTTGTAAAGTAAAAGCAGAGAAAGTGTGGCTTTGCTTATACATGTGATGTATCCCTGAAAACTATTTCACTGTTGGTATATTTTATAAGCAATCCTCTATATTCAATTACAAATCTATGAACAAGCAATAGCACTTAAGATTTCATAATCCTTAAATCATAATAATAACCTGTTTTATCCCTATGTTTTCAGGAGGAAAGCTTTTTTAATAACATAAAAATGTTATGTGTCACACATTAAGTGTCAAGCTTTAAATGTCAAGCTTTCTGCTACAGATTGCCAGATCTAGCTAAGCTGAACAAGCTGTAGCTACATAGGCTGAAATCCTCATTTACACCTAAAGAGCAATTGGTAATGCTTCCACCACATGCTGAGTCTATTTAATCTATGACAAGTCTTGATTTAGTAAAACAAAATGATGTTTGGACAACCCACTAAGCCAAGATCTGGGAATAAGAGAGGAAGATATGTAGGCTGATTAATGATTAGAGCTCCCCTCAACTCTTATGATTCAACTCTATTTTTGCCTTAGCCAGTGGAACAAAACAGAACAGAAATACAGGCTGAGATCATGCAATTATATTGCTTTGTGTTTGGTTTGGTTTGGATTTAAGCATTATTTAATAATTCATGGTTAAGTAGGCCATGGCTTGCTACATTCCAGGAGCCAATGCTATACAACATAGGTGCTAATTTTGTTATCTTTATGTAGTGAAAATGAATAGGCCAATCAAGCAGAGTTTACTCCTAGTTCTTTAAGGTTTAGGAAGCAGAATTCAGAATCTATTTTCAAATGGGGTGCTCTCTGTTTTAAAAGTTAACTTGATTTACCCAGGAGAATTTGAAAGCAATGACCATTTATCAGTTCGGTAGAGCTTTTACTGTGCCAAGTGTTTTATTGTCTTATAAAGTAGGTTATGTTGTCAAGTTCACAGAAACTGTGACGCTCCCCATAGGCCATGCAGTCATCCCACAGCAAAATGAAACACAAGCTTGGGTTTCTATTGCTGATTTTTTTCCATGTGCCTTAGAGCTGAGAAGCCATTAAAGATGACAAAGTGGAGAACTTCTCCTGTGGCAGCCCCTGTGGAGAATAAACTGGAAAACTTTCTTGAAGACTGTTCCCTCATACACTACAGGGAGAATTAGGGTATGTTTCTTTCATGCCCGCAAACTGTACTCCTTTCTAACTGTTAGAAGCCTCCAGAATTAAAGTGATAGCAGGACTAGCTGTCATAATTCATTACCACCATTTGGGGACAATGGTAATGATGGTACTGAATGGACAGTAGCAATATTTTTTTGCTGACACTATAAATGGTCCATCAAGAAGTCTGTTTTGAGGCTTGCTTTTCCTCAATAATTGCTTATCTAGAGGCCTCAGACAAGGTCCTTTATTCCGGATCAGTCTCTGCCCCAAGTAGATCTCTGGGAACAATGATGGCCTCATTTATAAGGCTGATGTAAGCTAATGCAATTCAAATTTCCTCAGGAAAATGAGCACACGCGTTCAGAATAGATTCTAAAACGACGTTTCTCTCCACCTCCTTTGCTCTGCCGCCCTGGATGCTAGTTTCGTGGGGAAGGCTGCCTGGCTCAAAGACTGGCACGCCGCACGTGCTATAAACGAACCCTTTGCCTGGGAGATGAACTCCACCACGCAAGACGGCTCACGATCAGTGGGGAGGGAGAAGGGCCTCTGCGCGTGCCCAGAAACCATCCCTACACTTAACACGGGAACTGTTTTTTCAAGGAGGGGCATAACTGGAATAAAACTTTATAGTGCTTCTAAAAAGAGGATTCCACTGTCTGAAACGTGCGCAAGCGTTTGTCTTACCCGGGTTTCTTGCTTTTTCCCCCCCCACAACGCCCCGCAGTCCGTTTCGTCGCGTTGGATGGTGGCAACCGCAGATCAAAAACACGCCTGCACGCAACTTCAGCCGTAGAGAGACGCCCTAGAAGCCGTTTCTTCGGATCCCGCAGCAAGTGCCGGGTTTTTCGGAAGAAGGGGAGCGAGAGCAACGAGAAATCTCCGCAAAGATGATCCAGGGGCAGCCAACCAACCTTGTGCAGCCCGAGTGTGTTTTTGCTCCGGTCGGTGATGCTGTTGGATCCAACCACCGCGGCCGATTTCCTCTGAATCTCAACGATTACTCCACCCACCACCCCCAGCCCCGATTCAGTCCATTTCTTTGCTTCCGTCACCAAGAAAAAAAGAGAACCGCCGTTGGTGCAGTCTCAACAGCAGCAGCAGCAGCAGGAGCGACAAAGTATTCGGTCGCCTCCATCTGCAGCGGGGGAGACGGCGAGAGGATGGACCCCTCCAGCAAGGCTGGCCGGCAACCTGGCTCGATTGCTAGGGGCCAACTTCTATCGGTGCATCTAACTTTGCAACGACGGGAGCGACGTTTTTATTTTTGTTAAGATTTCCCCCCCCCCTCCCGAGAAAGAGAGCAGAGGAGGAAAGAATGGGCGATGGGGCAAATGAAGGGATCGCCGAGATCCTCCCGGCGGCCACCCACTCCTTGTTCGAAGAGCCTCGAGCCAAGGTTCCCGACACCGCCGTCGCTGCTGCTGCTGCTACCACCGCTGCTGACTCTGCCTCCTCGGATGCTCGGCGGCTGCCAGTCCCCACCCCAGCTGCACGTGGTGGCTGTGTACAGCCGGGAGCGCCGCCCAGCGGCTTCCTGATTGGACGGCGCTTCCGCGGGAGGCGGAGGTTTTCCCGTGCGCGCGCACGAGGGGACTCTGGAGCCGGAAACGTTTTCAAGGCGGTGCCTTTGGCTGGCGGGGAAGGGAGGGGAGGGTGGATTTTCGCCGGCAGACTCAGCTCGAGATCATGGAGCGATCGGAGGCGAAAGTGGTTCTTCGCCCGCATCAGAGCCGGGTCACCCAGGCCAGCGCCGGGTGGCTTAATTCAGAAATAATAATAATAATAATAATAATAATAATAATAATAATAATAATAATGCAACAACGGACTTGCTCCAAATACAGAATAAAAAACGCTTTGCAAGATGGGAAGTTAGAACGACGTCTGTCCCCGAACCTGGATGCGCAGGATCACAGATCAGGGAGGAGGGCGATGGGGGTGGGGTGGGTTTCAATCCGGCCGTTCGGCAAAAACGGGGGAGGGGGCTTAACAAGAAGGGAATTCCTTGAAGAGGGTTCACTGGTTCACAATCAACTGGACTTAAACGTGTGGCAATTTCCTGTGAGAGGTTTAAATGCAATTTCAGTGGAAAAGCCAGGCTGTTGCTCAGTTTGGTTTATTCTGGAAGATATTATATTTATTTACAGGTATAAAAGGGGGAGAGTATGATAGCTTAATAGTCTGGAATGTGCTTGGCTTTGGAGGCAAGCAGTCCCTATTCCCGTGATGGCGAACTTATGGCACTCATGCCACAGGTGGCACACGGAGCCATATCTGTGGGCACGCAAGCATTGCCCTAGCTCAGCTCCAGCGCATTTTTGGGCCTTCTAGGCCCACCGGAAGTTGGGAAACGGGCCGTTTCCAGCCTCGGGTGTGTGTGTGTGTGTGTGAGGAAGGCCGTTTATGCCCTCCCCAGACTCCTAGAAAGCCTCTGGAACCTGGGGAGGGTGAAAAAACAGGCCTTCCGGTCCCACCGAAAGTCAGGAAATGGGCCGTTTCTGGCTTCCGGAAGGTCTCCAGCAGGTAGGGAAGTCCATTTTTGCCCTCCCCAGGCTCCAAGAAAGCATCTCGAGCCTGGAGAGAGCGAAAAACAGGCCTAATGAGCCCACCATGCCATCGTGTGCCAAAAGCAGGGGGAGGGCACATTGAATTATGGGTGTGGGCACGCATGTGCATGACCCGCCCGCACTCCCCCTGCTTTTGGCACACGATGGGAAAAAGGTTAGCCATCACTGCCCTATTCTTCTTCTCAGATGTCACCAGCCCAATGCCCTCCCATTTGGATCGGGTATCGTCTGCTTTTATGCAGGTCTGAGAACAGCCACCAGTTACCTCCGTAACAGGCAAAATTAAGCCAGCCAGTTTGGCTGTTCTAGTGGTGTTATCCAGTGATGGGATTCAAATAATTTAACAACCGGTTCTCTGCCCTAATGATTTCTTCTAACAACCAGTTCACCAAACTGCTCAGAAAGTTAACAACCGGTTCTCCTGAAGTGGTGCGAACTGGCTGAATCCCACCACTGGTGGTTATCTTATAATTGCTTACACGCGCTATAAGAGATCTCAAGAACACAACCAGTTGTTAGAAGGTGATTTATATGCCACTGTATCAAAGATAAAATTCATGTTTTGGGGTCACTTTGTACAAGAGCAAGCGTGCAGGTACAATAAAGTAAAAATAAAACTCCCCCCCCCCAGAACCTATGCAGTATGGATCACCCTTAATTACCTCCAAAATAACTGGTTGCCTCTGTCTCTGGAATAGGTTCACAAGCTCACACAGGCGCTAATCCTTTATGCATTTATCTGAGAGTAAAACTAAAGATCATGCTTGACTCATGGTGGCTTCACTGGGACATTCAAGGGGTTTCTTTGGGACCAGGACAACTAATTTGCCAGGGCCTACTTTGGGCATGCTCTTCTCAACTTCCCAATCTACTGTATTCCTATAGTCCTGGTAGTCTCCTATCCAAATACTAGCTATATTAAGCTGAGCTGAGTTTCTGAACTCATAAGAGGTATTAGTATTACCAAGTATTGCTGAATACATTAAAACTTGCTCCAGATTCGATCAGATGCCAAGGGTGGAATAGATAGGAAAGGTATACAGGTAGTCCTCAATTTACAACAGCTCATTTAGTGACTATTCAAAGTTACAATGGCACTGAAAAATATGATTTATGACCATTTTTCAGATTTACGACTGTTGCAACACTCCTGTGGTCACACAATCAAAATTTGGATGCTTGGCAATTGATTCATATTTATAATGGTTGCAGTATCCCAGGGTCATGTGATCAAAATTCAGCTGCCTGATAACTGACTCATATTTATGATAGTTGCAGTGTCCCGGAGTCGTGTGACTTCCTTTTGCAACCTTCTGACAAGCAAAGTCAATGGGGAAACCAGATTCACTTAACAACCATGTTACTAATTTAAGAACTGCAATGATTCACTGAACAAATGTGGCGAGAAAAGTTTTCAAATGGAAGAAACTCACTTAAATTTCTCACTTAACAACATAAATTTTGAGCTCAATTGTGGTCATACCTATACTTGATGGTATTCTCTCAAGTATAACTTTCATTACTAGCTGTCCGATACTTTCTTCTAAAACACCTTTGCTACTGCTTCAAGACCTTGATCAGGTTGCCATCTCCATTCTTCCACCTGTTGCTTCATAAATCAGCTTTAGATAGTTAATTTATATTACTTAATTTAAAATTACACATACAGAAAATGTAAAAGAGAAACAAAATAAGATGAAGGCAAGTAAATTAAAGCACGAATTATAAAATCATGGGAATTTGAACAAAAGCAAAATGTCTTCAGATTTCCTAAAGATAGAGCTGTATGTCTCTGTGCTTTTAACTTTTTTACGTTTTCTACTTTCTTCCACCGGATATCAGAACATAGGCATCAACAACCTGATTTCTGTCACGGAGAATCCCATCTTCCCTCCAACTTGGGTAGGAGTGTTATTTGTGAGTCACAGCAAATGAATAGACAAAGCAAATCTCCAAAAATAGTTTATGAAAGCACAATGCACACACAAAGAAAGGCATAGCCTCCTCTTACGGTTCTAATCACCTTGGCAACATACCCATTTTCATCTTGTAGGAAAAGTTAAACAAAAATGGAGTTTCCCTTCCTATGATGAGTGGGTGATTTTCTCTATTAATAATTATTTAAATCATGCTTATCATCAAGTTTGTCCAGCCAAGAGAGAATCAATGGAAGAACTTGTCGGAGGTCAATCTTTTCCTTCAGGAATCAGAATCCTACCAAAAGAGTATTTTGGAAGCCATCAGGAGGCAATGAGGAGGATGAGGACAATCCAGAAGTCATAAATGGTTTTGGCCCAATAGTATTGGCCAAAATACTCCACTCAGTCCGGCAGAAAGAGCATATTGCAGACGCTGTCAAAAAGTTTTGGCTGATGGGGTCTAGAAGGAGAGCCTTTTCTGCCATGACCCCTACTCTATGGAATATCTCTAAGCCTGAGATGAGGTATGCCTTGTCCATTTGGCCTTCCAGAAGGGTATTAAAACCTGGCTCTGCCAGTTAGCCTGGGATCTTGAGAGGGGTACTCAACATTGGAAGTGATTGGTGGATTTACTGAGAAGATTTAACACCATGCTGATCCTGCCTTTTTTGTTTTTTGTCGTTGGTATTTAATGTTTTTAATATCTTTTTATGATTTTGTGAGAGTGAGATGGGCAGCATATAAATTTAATAAAATTAACCAAAGTTTGGTGCAGGAAGTCACACTTCTGACATCACCCTGACGCAATTGTAAAATGCGATGTCACAAGACTACATCACTTAGCAGCAGAAATTCCAGCACTTCCAGCTGCTGTTGTTAAGTGAACCTTAACAACCTTAATGAGTTACTTAAGCAAAGATGTCATGTTTGTGACCTCCTGCCAACTTTCCTATTGACTTTGCTTGCAAGAAGTTGGCAAAGAAAGCTGCAAATGGCAATCATATGACTGGGGATGCTGCAATCTACATAAGTTTGAAGACTAGACATAACTATCATTTGTGCAGCACTGTGATAAATTCAAACTGAACAAGTGGTTGTTAATTGAGGATCACCTGTAATACTAAAAGGATGGAGAAGTTAATTAGGAAGACTATCAGCAATCGGGTTTCTGATGTGCTGGATAACAGGGATCACTGGAGGAAAATGTTCCCCAATAGTGATTGGCTGCAGAGCTAATGATAATAATGTCCTATGACGAAGCACAAAGGCCCTAATTTGAGTAGGAGTGATGCTTTCAAAATTAGCCCTTGTTAATTACTAATTCACAATCTCCTCCTATGTAAAGGCACAGGGAATAGCCTTGAAGGATGGGAGGATATGTAGCTATTCTAATAAATTTAGTATTGGATTAGGCCTACATGGCATATGATAATAGAGACGAGTCTACTGCATTGCTTCAGTGCTCTCAGTGGAATAGAAGCTTCAGACTGGGGGACCTCACAATAAAGGTAGTGGTAGGAAGACACCTGAGAAAGGAAGTTCCAACAGTAGATTAAAGGCAGATGTTTTCTTTTTCATCTTGCTTTCTACAGGATCAGGTGGGGCTGACTTTTGGGGAGATCTTGGCCACTGATCTTAAGGCAATGAGGCCATCCCCTAACAGTTCCCAATAAGAGTTCCTGTATTGATCTTGAGTAGTTTCAGAAAAGAACATAAGGGATTCCAGGGTTTTCTCTCAGAAATGGTGAGAACCTAAGGGTGACAGAACATCAGAGATGCAGTAGCGGAGGAGGCAATTATAGCTTTGGGGTCTCGGACCTTCTAAGCCTACTTCCAGGTGCTTGATTTTGATAAGTGCTCTGGAGGAGTTTATTAAATGCTTTCAGTTCTCAGTGGATTCCATTGTGTGTCCTTCCCCAAGCAGTAAAAGCTGCACAAGACATGCACTCTGCAATGTGGCAC